CCGAGGCTGATAAAGTTCTTTCCTTTTAAGTCTGTCTGACTGTCATCTGTTAACGAGCGGAGAAGGGGGGAGAGAACAGTGAACTATGGCATGTGGAGCCATATTTGTTGGCACACCAGTGGTCAGCTCCAGCACACAAGCATGCACTGGCTAGCTGCTTTCAGGGGGGCAGGAGAGGCCATTTTCACCCTCTCCAGGCTTCAAGAAAGTCTCTGGAGGCTGGGGAGGGTGAAAAACAGGCTCGCCCTCTCCAGGATTCAAGAAAGCCTCTGGAGGCTGGGGAAGGTGAAAAACAGGCTCAACGGGCCAACTGGAAGTTCATTCCTGAACTTCTGGTTGGCCAGTTGGGACTGTTTTTCGCCTTCCCGAGGTTTCAGGAAAGCCTCCAGAGCCTGGGGGGATCATGTGTGCATGTGCAGGAGCACATGCACTAAAATAAACCCTCCCCGAAAATATTGCAAAACAGCAGCAGCCATGAGGTGACCATGCTCACCATCTGCCGCACCCCAAAAATAATAAGGCCTCCCCGAAAATAAGGCCAAGCGCTTATTTTGGGGGGTCAAAAGAAAATAAGACCTTGTCTTGTTTTCAGAGAAACACTGTAGTTAATTTTTTTCTTTCACTAAGGATTGAAAGAAACTCATCTAGTGCTGTCAGACTTGTCAATTCAAAGATTTCTAATAGCTGACAAGTAGTTAACAAGCAATTTTTGAAAGTGTTTAGAAAAGGAAGTATGCTTTTAAAGATGCCAACTATGAGCAAAATTTATTTATTAATCAAATTTAAATGGCTGCTCACCTCATGGAAAATGACTAAGAGCTGATGGATATTCCCAGACCTCTAAACCTATCAGACACCACCACTATTTTATTGTCTCCTCCTGAGGAGCAACTGTCTGGAGTATTTGTGGGTGATCTCAAATCCTTTCCTTTTCTGGAGAGGTTTGAAGAGCTGGTCTACTCACCAACTATTCATTCTTTACTGGAGTAGTTTTGCTGCATTTTGCAATGCTTCACTCCAACCCCTTTTTCCTAATCAAAATTCCACCCACCACATGCAGAAAGAAACTGTGGCATCTAATACAGGGACTTTTAACAAAGTCTTTCTCTGAACTACTTTTATTTGGATTGTGGCTGGAATAACAAGCCAGCTTTGGACAGTTACTCCATCTTCTCTGTAATCTAATGTCTATGTGAGGGGGGAAGGGAATAACAGTCTCCCATAATAAAATATGGGAACCACAGAAGTGGAAGTTGATTTTGTTAGCAGCTGTGTAAAACTTCATGAATGAAACAAAGTGGTTCCCCATTCAAAGTCTGGTCTGGAGGCATCTTTAAAATAAGAAACTGCAGTGTTGGGCACATTCAGTGTGCTGCTAGCACCACCTTGAGCTTTATTAGAACAAGTTGAGTTATCAGTTTTCCTTTTTTTAATGAAGATTCTACAGAGATTTTTGGACTCTCCTATTGTCTGAGATGTTTTTGTGATACACTCTGTAATCCAACAAAATGTAAGGGGTGCTATCATAAATTATATACATATAGACTATTTGTCTCACAATCTTATTATTGTCTGCTATGCAGTATAAAGCTTTTAAATATTTCAGAAATTTTTTCTAATCTTAAGTAGAACTTTTCCCATGCCAAACCATTTGCAGAGCCATCAACATTTTCTGCCCTTTCCTCATTAACAGATTTCTCTTTGAAAAAAGTGCTGGGAGAAATAATGGAAGAAGATAGAAGGGCGATATATTCTGGAACCCATGTAAAATGTGTTCATAGAAAGTAAATGGAATTTAAATGGGGTAGAATGAATGGCAAAAAATAAAAATATAATTCACTAAAATCCTATGAATATGGCAAGGCATAATCAATGCCATAATATTCTCATTTAAAGGTTCTCTGCTGTCAAGTTTCTTTGTCTAATGTGTCTAAATGGTGGTTTCTTACTTCAATACTGTGTTTATTACTTTATCTATTTCTAATGTGCAGCTATTCTAAAGTTTACCGTGAGCTGGAGCAGACCATTCGTATGGCCGATGCACAAGAAGACCTTCGGTGGTTCCGCAATACCAGTGGCCCTGGGATGCCTATGAACTGGCCTCAGTTAGAAGTAAGAAGCTGTTGCAGGATGATGCCTCCAAGGAAGGCTGCACTGCCAAACTGTAGGTTATAGATCCATGGCTATTAGTCATGATGGATATCTGGAGCTTCAGGGTTGAGGGAGCCGTGGTCCATGTGCCTAGAAAAACTAGTACATAAAGACCTTAGCCTCTCCTGATGCTGCTCCCTGCAGTGGAATTCTGCCTCTCTGAACACTGAGCGTCTATGTCCTACTTCTGGTTTTACCAGAACCACAGGGCAAACCACTGCAAGAAGTAGAATGTGTTTATTGTGTTCTTAAGACTGGAGCTGAGTCATAGTGCAGTTGAAGCATTGGAAACGGAGGCTTTGAGATTAGGTATATGTTTTTTTTTCATCTGCAGGAATGGAATCCAGATGCATCACAAACAATAAACCGAAGAGAGAAACCAAAAAAGAATGAGGGAGGCAACACACCCAATGCCAGTGGAGCTGGGGAAGCAACATCACAGGCAGGAGATCGTGGCAGGTAAACATATGAGATGTTTCCAGTTTGAGTCTCTCAAGATAGAATGTTTAGAATAGACTTGGATATCATGCACCACCAGTGACGTGTGGTGAGGTTTATGGCTGGTGAGGCAAAAAGAAAGAAAGCGGCTTTTGGCCACTGTAAAAAAAAAAGGCTTTTGGCCGCTCCGGCGCTATGTCTGACATAGAAGCGGGACATCCACTTCTATGTCGGACATAGCACCAGAGCGGCCAAAAGCCTCTTTTTTGACAGCGGCCAAAAGCGCCAGAACGACCAAAAGCCGCTTTCAAGAAAGAAAGAAAGTGCCAGCTCACCAGCAGAGACGGGTAAAAGACCCGCCTCTGCTGGCAGGTTTCCCAACACAGAGAAAGAAAGTTGGCAGGCTGCCCTCCCTGTCTCTCCTTCCCTCTGAGTGAGGAAAAGCACACACACAGAGAGAAATTACTTACAAATTACAATTACTTACAAATTACATTGATTTTGAATTCCTCCCCCTCCCTCCGACCCACATACCTTTTCCAGCTGTTTCACAAAGGATTTCAACTCTGCTCTTGTCTGCCATGATGAAAATGTAAAAATATAAAAGGAAAAAGGCAAGAGCTGCTGAGGTCAGGCTGGGTTAGCTGCTGCCAGAGTCCCCAATGGATGACTCTGCTTAACTGTTTAAAAAAGCCTCTTAAAAAAACGCCCTCAAGAGGAGGAGGCAAAAGAACCACGTGCCTCATCTACATAAGGAATTTTTCAGCTTTCAACCCTTGCTTAACTCTGCTTGAGTGATCATAAAGTCAGACTAAATGCACGTGGTTCTCCCGCCTCCTCCTGTAGAGGGCACTTTTTAAGAGGCTTTTTTAAACAGTTAAGCACTAAGCAGAGTCATCCACTGTGACTCTGGCAGCAACTACCTCAGCCTTTTTCCTTTTAATTTTTTTTCTTTTCATGATGACAGTGGCGAGGCTCTGCCTCCCCTGCCTCCCCTGACTGCATGTCACTGTGCACCACAGTCTCACTATCTCCAGTTGCCCCACAGAGTTAGATATAACAGATATTTATGCAGTATTATCCTTTCTTATGATGCTGTGTCCATTACCAGTGTCAGCAGTTATGAACGTAGCCAAGCCTACACTACAGAGTGGTCAGATGATGAGGGTGGCAACACTTACAACTCCAATGAAGCCAATGGCGGTGCCAATTCCTTTGAAGAAGAACCAGCTGGGAAAGGTGTCCGTGTACGAGCTCTGTATGATTATGATGGACAAGAGCAGGATGAGCTGAGTTTCAAAGCAGGTATGCATTTACAACTTTTTGAAATAGCCATGTCATTTTGGGGGATCATCTGACCTCTACAAAATGCAGCAGTATAATCCAGAGCACTTTGCAGTCCTAAGAAAACTTTATATTTTGTTTTTAATAAAAAGGAAGTATTTTGAAGTCACAGTATGAAGGTACACTACGTATATTCTTTTCCCACTGATTATTTTCTCATACAAAATCACACACTCTCTTGCTTTTTCCCCACATAAGTTTTACATAAACATGACTCAACAGAGTCAGTATAGGAAAACACTGTTGGGAAATAGGATGAAATCAGTTAGAGAGGAGATATTAAATCGATAGCGTGCTCCCAATTTGTAATTTATCATTATTTTCCTAGGTGATGAATTAACCAAATTAGGTGAAGAAGACGAACAAGGGTGGTGCAAAGGACGTCTGGACACCGGGCAACTTGGTCTTTATCCAGCTAACTATGTGGAGTCTATCTAATTCTGTCATGTTCTCCTTGTGCTGCCAGAATTCAACCCTCTCCAGTCCACCATCTGTCTATATACCAGTCAAGTAGCCATCTTGCTCTATAGTCATTCACTCAGCACAGTTAGAGTTCCAAACATATTTTCCAATCAATCTCTTATTTTTTTAATTACATCTCTAAAAAGTATTTTGTGGTAGCTCTACTATTTTAGTTTCTTAAAGAAATGAGATATGAAAAGTCAACCCTGTCACTGGAGGGCTAGTCTTGTAAATGAAAGCCAATACTTCAAGCCTTTAAAGCCTAACCAATAAGGCTTCTGGTTGGTTGGATTTTAATTATAAAATGTAGCTAAGAAACATTCCAAATGGCTTATTCTTTCTAACATTTAAGCTCTAGGGAAAATAGAATTCACTCTCATTGAAAAAAATGAATCAAACAAAAATAAGGAGACAGAAAATATAGTTTTTTTATTTTGTTTATTTTTCTGATCCCTCTACAATATATTTCTTACCTATTTCTATTCTAAAGACAAAAGACAAAATATATTTGTTCTTTCCAAGAAGTCCCAAACAGCATTTTTTGCTGTAATAGTCTACATTGATCATCCAGCAATCATCTAGAACAGTTGCATTAACTGAACGATATGGCCTGTCTGGTATGTTATGAATTAAAAGATTTGTTCCATACCAATTTCCTCAATGCCACTAAAATATGTGGCTTGTTGTTCTTCTGAGTTTAGACAGGGTTGTGGAAACTGAGGTACACCCAGTAAAACTCAAGACAACTGGCTTCTTTCTCTCATCTTCTTTTGAGGAATTGAACTGCATTCCTGGGGACATGAGTGGATGTATCCCTTTTTAAATGCAAAGATTAATCAGAAAATTCTCTTATTTCCAGGCTGAGAACAGGACTTAAAAGGAGATGCAAAATTATGAAAACTAATTACCATTTATACACTTAAACACCAGGAAAAGGAGTGCACTGATTGTGAATTGGTATTTTAAAAAACTATTGAAGGAAACACCTGTATGTTCTTGAGCAGTGGAAAATGAGTCTAATTAGGTACCTTTTTAAATTTAAACACAAAGAGGCTTTATTAGAAAAATATGCAAGTGATAGCAAGGTAACCTTTCAAGTGAGTATCAAGAGAACAATATGTATGTGAGGACAAAAGCAGGCAAAAAGCAACTTGAAATTAGCAGTTTCAGAAACTAATAGTAGAAAGGGATAAACGGAGCACACAGAAAATTCCTATCTATCTTATTGCCCCTTGCAATTGTAGGTCATGAGATTTACAGAGCCAGTGCAATTGAAGTCACTGTTCCAACACCCTTTTCACCAATTCATTCAGCAAGCCACAACTTCCATCTACCCGTATCAATCTTTGGGCAAAGGCTTTGTAGGTCATCTGCCACATTTCTTTTAATGGGCAATATTTCAATTAGTCCCTTTTACTGTGTATCTTGTACATAATATACTCTATGTGCTTCATTCTAATGTACTCTTCCCCATTAGGAAGAACTGACAACACCTATAGTTGTTATTATTGTCTTTGACTCATAATCTCAAAGTCTTTTAATAGTTCAGTCTTTTGGCATGATTGTGCTTCTGATACATATCTGCTTCTGGGGACAACAGAATAACAACTGCCCATCTCATTTGAAGAACAGCCACCCATTTAAGATTTACAACCTGTTTTGTGTTCTGCCAAGTCTTCCTTCCCCGGTCCCTCAAAAGAAGGTGACTGCTCAGCATAAATGTCTTCCTTGATTTCTCCATGCAGAAATGCAAACTTTACACTAAGGTGATGCACCTGCATATTCCCAGCTGTTGCTATACTGAGCAGTGTTTATATTGAAGTGTTATGGCAGAAGTAGCACCATAGTCTTCACCTGTTAATCTTTTGAAATGACCAAGGTCAAGAAACAGAAGCAGCACAGATTTGTTTATTGTAGTAAAGTAAAATAGCAGCATCTTGCAAGCCTGTCAACATTTCTCTCCACCATATTTTATGCCAGACAAAATCAAGATGTAATTATTTTGAATTATTTTCTCACAGTTGAGTACATTTTCTCCCCCTGCAGCAGGTCCCTGCTCTCTTCCCAACAGCAGATCTACATTTTTTTCCATACCATATTTTTAATATATCCTTTTGCCTTATGGCCTTATAGTGCTGGGCATCCACTTCTGCATTGCATTGGATCTTGAAAACCATTTTCATCCCATTATTTTCTTTCCTTGCAGATCATTCAAAGAGTTCCCAAGTATTCCTTTGAAATATTTTCATTTCCTTTTTTTGCAGGGTTTTTTCATTGTTTAGATTTGTTAGCAAACGCTTAATGTCTTTCCAAGAACAAGACTCTTGTATTAGTTCCTTTTTGGTTATGTAGGAAAATCTTCAGGGTGGATTTTTTTCCCCTGGATCTTTCTGAGCATCACAGCTGCAAATGATTCAGTTTTTGTTTCTGGATATGATGTGCCATTGAATAAATAGCACAATGAAGACTTATTGAAGCAAATAGATTCAAGTTGAGTGTCCGGGTTCAAGGTGCATTCTGAACATTAAAAGAAGTCATGCTACATGTTTGTGTAAGGGACATATTACTTGTCCCAGCTTCTGCCAACCTAGCAGTTCGAAAGCATGTAAAAATGCAAATAGAAAAATAGGAACTAACTTTGGTGGGATGGTAACAGCGTTCCATGCTCCTTCGGCATTTAGTCATGCCAGCCACATAACCACAGAGACATCTTCGGACAGTGCTGGCTCTTCAGCTTTGAAACAGAGATGAGCACCTCCCCCTAGAGTCGGGAATGACTAGCACATATGTGCGAGGGGAAACTTTACCTTTACTTTAGATGTTTGTGTGGAGAGATGTATGATTCTCTATCCCTGCAGTATTGCAACATGCCTTCACCACATCTATTACGGAATTTGGCCCTTTTTATTTTTGATTCATTGGTTTAGACTTTAAAACCAAATACTCTAATATTATAATAGGCTGGCAAATTTACCCTAGTTTGTGCTTCTTTCCATGCTACAGTTCATGGGGCCTATTTATGGTCTTATTATACTGTGTTTTTGAGAGGCGGCAGTGGTAACTTCTTCCACTGCTTCCACACATTCTGATAGAGAGAGGTTCCCTGAAGATGGGCTCCAGCACAAAAAAAGTGAAAGCTCGGAGGACAAAATCTCTGATCCCAGTGGCTGACCCAGATTGGATCTTGCAACATTATGCTGGGACACATATATTCACCTTTGTTCATAACTTCTTCCATGCAGAAATTATTTGCCAGTCCTGAATCTTGCAGTATGAACTTCATTTATGTAAAAGAAAGGTTATCTCTTACCCATGCCTTGTGTTCTGGCATTTAAAACATAATAATCTCATGTAATTCTTTGTTCATTCAAGCACTTTTTTATGTTACCCGCCATGTATTCAGTCACATTATTTGTGTGTAGAACTTAGAGCTTTCTGTCAAATTTGTTGCTTACTAAAGACACATAATGTATCTTAAAGTCTTTTCATAAACTGAGCAAGTAGTTAGTTATAAAGGTAAAGTAAGTTGTTTATAAACATGAATATGTATTTGTTTCTGCCTATCGTCATTACTTTATTGACCTATAATTATTGTCTGGGCCAGTTCCAGGAACTGCCTCATCAATTTTACTTTCAGGGGAATTTCAATTGAGCTGCATGTGGTTGCATTCTCAATCCTTTTGCTAAATACTCAAATTTCTGAAAAGCATCTGGATTCTTATATCTCTTTCTTCTGGGCCATAGGCTTAAACAGGTTATGTGATTGCATCATTTGGCTGCTTTTGCCTTAGCCACAGCACTATCTATTTCAAACAATGCATTTTCTAGGAGGGTGCCTTTCATCATTCTCCATTTTGACACACACACACACACACACACACAAGTGGCCTTTAAATTTTACTTCACACTGTTCCTGTATCATAGGCTTTAATGAGAGCAGACTGGATTCCAAAACCAGCTGTACAGAAAAGCATGCAAATCTTATAAATAACTAAAGAAATAAATCCAGGCCAAACAACACACTTTGAATTGTAACACTAGTTTGCATTCCTTTATTCAGGCCACAGGACAATCTTGCTAATCTCTCCTTATTGAAAGGAATTTTTGTCCTTCTACTAAACAACCAATGTGTGACAAATACAATACTTTCGTTTTCTTAAATAAGTTTGCATGTTGCACAAGAATGCACAGACTTATCTTCTGATGGAGAATGAGACTTTTCTGTTATTTTTATCATTTTATTATTAATAGTCCATTTCCTCTGTGCTGTAGTGAGTCATGCACTTGAGAATATTGTTGTCAGATACGTTTTCCTTGTTTGGTCTTGCTAGGACAACAGGCTTGCAAATAACCCAAGCCATTATATATGAAGTATCGCCTCCTTTGCAGTTGGTTTTGTAAGAAGTCTTGACATTTGACACTTTTCTGTTAGTGTTACACTCATAATCTTGCAGGTGATAAATTGTAAAGTTAAAATTTGCCTTGTCTGTCCTCTCATCAGCCATAACTCTGACAGGGACTATAGTCTCCCACTTCCTGGAAGGAAGATTAAGATCAGAATAATTGACATTTCCAGCTTGCTACACATTTTTTATCTCTCAACTTGTCTGGTCATTTCTGACATCTCATCCATATGCAGATTTATAGCTCACCCTTCCCTGAGCTGCTTATTGCAGAGTCTTGCAAAAAGATCTTCATTTGAAATTGCATATCTTTTATCATTTATTAATACAACTGAACATCTGAATCAGTTTTCTAGTTTTCAGTAGGATCACTCATTGACAGCTGAATCATTCCAGCTGCTCTGCCATTTTACAGCCTCCTGCAGTCTTTGATCGTACTCTTCATTTATGGGTTAGGGTCCAGGACAAAGGCAGTCACTTTCTACTAGAGAAGTATTTTCATCCGGCTTTTTCATAGCTTGAAACATCCCTACCTCTACTCTATAAGCCATCGGCTTTTCTTTCTAGTCTTTGTTACGGGTGCTCACAATGACTCACACTTTTATATCTTTCATTAAATTTTTTGCTCACTGCTCTGGGCCCATAACCCTGATAGACAGAAGTGATTTGTTTAATCCTGGAGAATGGGGTGAATAAGTCTAGAGAAGCAGCTACTTTCTTTAGTCAAGAATCAAAAGAAGACTTGTGTAAAATAAAGGCAGGAAGGAAGGAACCTGAGATAAGCAACCTCACAGGTAAAGAACAGAGTAAGAGGAACAGAGGGATAGGGGAATCCCTAATTATCTACTAGGCAGGTTGTGAGGTAGTGAGAATCAGTGCAACTGAAATTGACTAAGCATATGATATAGTAAATTGGAGAAAGAAGCAGTGCTGAGTGCCCGAAACTGTGATGGGAGAATGCATATCTTACATCATCTGGAGCAGGAGAACCCCTGTCTTATATAAGGCGTGATCAAAGGAGAGTATAGCTGATAATGCAGTATGACAGCATTGAAGATATTCATAAGCTGGCATGGGCTAGTAATAGCAGTATTAGTATCAGACAAAGGTGTCTCAAAAATAATGGGAAGAGGAAGCCAGTTAGATTTCGGTGCACATGTGCTATGAGCTAAAAATGTACATAACATTTGAACAAAGTTCCAGAACAAGGAATGCTTAAATTTCTCTAAGTTCAAAACTAAGAAATAGCAGAAAAGTGAAGAATTCAGTAAAAATGTTTTTAAAATGAGATTCTATGTCCCATTCCCAGCAATATTGGCAAGTTCGCTTGGAAGAATTTTCCAAAGGAACAACGTTCTATTTTAAAATATAATTGAGAATGTTACCTATTCAGGAAATCTGCTTGATAATAGCAGATACATGCTGAACTATCCTATCCTGGAATTCATGCTTAAATTTTGGATTGTAGAGATATCAGTGGATAGTTATTGATTATATAATTAAATGCAGAAACTCAGTCCTGAATAATCTGTGATAAAGGTATAAGTGCTTAAATTTCTCTAAGTTCAAAATTATTCCTTATATGATGAGAGAGAGAGAGAGAGAGAGAGAGAGAGAGAGAGAGAGGGAGGGAGAGAGAGAGAGAGAGAGGGAGAGGGAGAGGGAGGGAGAGAGAGACTTTCCAATACCTCAAATTTCAATGACAGGACAATCTATAAGTATACAGTAAAGAGTAAATAAAATTTGCATACAACAAAAAGCAAACTTCATCCTTCTGTTGAGCAACATACAGTTGCCAAAACATTGTGATGAGAAATTATAACACTTACTGCAATAAGATTTGTAAATGGATTTGCTATTGCAGAAGGACCAATGCCTCGCTAAAAAAATGTTCTCAATTCCAAGTCAGCTACTAAGGAAGGTTATGGACTAAGGCAATAAGGAATATTGTAGATGACTCTAATTTGAAGTCATTAATTTCATTATATTCTATAACATGATGATAAATTCTTCTTCTTAAGGACAACATTACACAATGAATGCTAGTCTAA